CTGTCTGTTACTTTAGATGAAAAATAAGGAGCCCCTCCCCACGCCCCTCTGAGAGAGATTTGGTAACAAATAACTCAATGGTGCTCTAGGAGGAGATTCAGGTGATAAGGTGGGGGGGGGGGGGGGGTTACCTTGGTTGCTGATTGGCTACCTTGGTTGCTGATTGGCTAATGGTTACACAAGACAAAACATCGTTATGACATCATAAAGTGGCCAAAATCTGATCAGCTGATTTTCAGACAGGTTTTTATAGAAATGGATCAGGACAAAAAGAGAGAGAATCTTTGTTCCTGAAACTTTCAGAGTCTCTTTCCACAGAGGGGACACATGTTGATGTAGAAGAGACATGAAGAAGTGGATTTTGCATAATAGGTGACCTTTAAACTTCTTCCCTAATAGTTCCCACTTTAGTTTGTATGGTGGTGTGTCAGGATTACTACCCAGATGTGGAAATGAAGTAAAATACTATATAGTGTTCAGCTCCAGATACCTGTGACTAAATGTGCCTTGGTAGATGCACTGTAATCTATAGGTTGTAGTGCACATGTGTAAATGATAAACTGAGGCATACATTTGTTAAAATTGCACTTATTTTTCTTTGAAGAAATTCATAATGTTAATTAAAAAATATATTTAATTGAATGTGAACATTTTCAGAATACACTTTTTTGCACTAAACAAAGGAAATAATTTAGAGTTGTTATTTATAGCTTATTATGCTATGATTTTACTGGTCCGGCCTACTTGAGATCACATTTGAGCTTAAGTTACTTCGACACCCCTGTTTTAGATTATGCAGTATCTATTTTTGGGAAAATCTGGTGTCAAGTCTGCTAGATAAACTCACAGCCATCGCTAGAAACCATTAATACTTCTCCTTTTTCTTTTCTTCTCATGCTTATCTCGAGTATTGTTTCCTCATTTCATGAATTACCACATAAGCCACTGGGTGTGCTCTTTGACAAGATCTCCTGTTTGTTACACACACACACACACACACACTCACACTCACACTCACACTCACACTCACACTGTGGCGGCAGCTGTAGTCTGCAGGATGTGGTCTCCTCGTGCCGGTGTTGTTTCATAGTAACATCGCAGAGCTGCACACTGCATCTCATCTCCGCCATTGAAGTGCAGTCTTTGTGGCGTGTGGTTAACAGTGTTTCCTACCTACCTGTATATGCCTTTAAAACAGAACAGATAGCGCTGATGGGACACAGTGTTGACCGGTGTTGGCGCTCTTGAGAACACGAGTGGTTGGCTGGTAAGTGGTTGTCCTGTCACTGACCCACAGCTGCTGCTATGGCAGGAGATAAGATTGGCCGCCTCTATCAGCTTGGTATTCAGTTGTTAACCGTACTGTATTTGCATGCCACAAGTCAACTGGCCGCTAGTTTTGTAAATCTAAATCGGTCATGTAGTGTTGTCATGACACGTAGATGGTGTTTTAACCATCTCACCGATTTTTTTTTTCAATTGATTAACATGTTTTTTAAGCAAATATAGCAACGTTTTTGGGATCAAAATGTGAGTATTTGCCCTGGTTTCATATACTTTTAAAATCAAATCTTGTTGTGGCCTCTTGATCCGTCATAACAAGACACTTTAAATACTAAGTTGCATCTAGAGTTTCCTCATTGGTGGAAATGCTAATTACTAATTCCATATTTGTCTTAAGATATTTAAAATGGCACTATCGTATACATTTAATTAATCCATTTGATAATATGTAATCCACTTAGGCACCCCTCCCATAAAAAAAGAAATATTCATAACTCATATTCGAATACCTGAATCATATTGAATATTCGATGAATCATTCCCATCCCTACTAATTAGTCATAAGTAGTTGCGGCAATAATTTGATGATTTATGGGATGTGTAATAGAGTGAGATTCTGTTAAAGGGGACCTATCATGCAAAATGCACTTTATGTCTTTTATACATAAACACGTGTCCCCGGTGTGTCAGGGAAAATAAAACCCTCTCTCTTTTCCTCCGTACCCAAATCTCTAAAAACGGAGCTGATCCAGATTTGCGTCCGATATGACGTAATATCTGAAATGTGGACCCACGGCACTCAGAAACGTTGCTATCAGAAACAATGCCCGACTGTTTTGGACGTAATATGGTCGGTGTTTACATTAGCATCGCTAACACTCAGAGCTAACCTGTACTGGAGAGCATGTGTGTGAAGAAGCAGGAAATCAAAAGGAACTCACCTTGTGGTATAACCGGCAAGAGAGAAAGCCTTTGAGCTCCATACTGTTTCAGAAATAATCCTTGATAATCCATGATATGGCGTTTCATCACGGCAGTATTTAGTTTAGACAGTAGCTGCCGGGTCCCGCATGAGCTCAGACCCCTCCTTTTTATTTTTTTTAAACCGTTATACCCCAAATCAGCACTTTTGAAACAGGAAGTGAAATAGAGGGATATGAGGCATGGCTAGAATGGGTGATCTGTTTGGTATTTTGAGCAAAACACTTCATAGACATGTTTTTTATATATTTGTATATATCTGAGACCTATGCTATTGACTAAAAATAGCATGATAGGTGACCTTTAACATAGTATTGATGCAATGCCTTCTGTGTCTGCTGGTGAACGAGTGGACGCTCTTATTGTGAAGCAGCTCCAGGAAGTGATATCTTAGATAGCTGTCACCGAGCTGGGGGACATTTTTAAGAAGTCAGCACTTCAGTTCTGCACATTGTGACGGAGAAGTAGAAGTAGTTACAGTTAGCTGGGAAAACCCTGAAGTCACCACCTGCACCAGTCCATGTGTTGTGTCCGCCCTTGTTGACAACCACAAAGCTCCTGTATACACATTCTGTTGTTGCTGTTATTCTCAGAGTTGGATCTTAAAACATCTATGCGACCTGTCACTCGGTACTAAATGTCAGATGCTATTTGACGGGAAGCAGTGACATCATATTCTTTCTTTACCAAATATTGCGTTTGCTGCGATTTGGATATTGCACTCGTCCCGATTGAGAGTTTAATAACATTTCAATTCATTCTACAGTCGTATTTAATATGCAGCGTGTGTTTGGTGATGGATGTTCCCGTCCTAATTGTGCCGGGCAGCGGTGTAAACGGAGATCCACTGTGGATATGACACCGTTTGAGCAGTTTGACCCGTCTGACCCCGGGTTTAGTGTTTGGAGAGGCGAGCTCTGCCCAGTCTGCATCTGAACGACTCGCAGAGAGCATCTGTCGCCCCCAACTTTTTGATCCTCCCTCACATCTGCACCGTCGTAAGTCACTGCGGTGTAAATGTGCACTTAGTGCGCCGCCTGCCCTAAACGTGGGGGGTGATGGCAGTAAAAAAAAAAGTGCAGTGAGCTCTCTGATATCGGGAGATAGCTGGGAAAGTGCTCGTCCAATGCACTGGCAGGGAGTAAGTAAGTGAGGGATGGATTGCAAATGGAGCACATATACACACTGTTACCCAGCCCAGGGAGTGGAGGGATTGTTGCCTTTGTCTCGAGGAGAGAGGCAGCACTCGACGAGAGTAAATCAGCTCTTTGTTTTTGAGTGCCGCTCCCCAACATGTCTCCCAGTCTTCATTAATTTAATTAGGCATGGAAAAGGGGCAGGCAATAACATGCCATGAGATAAAAACCACACCCGAATGCTTTGGTAAACTAAGACAGGACATGTGGGGGGGAAATCGTTTAGACCACAGGTGCCATAATTATGCAGAGACAGTTTGGGGTCTTTATATATTACACATCTTAGCTTCAGACTCATCATCCAATGAAGAGGCTGGTTTAAAGTCATCCTCTCTTGTTTTCTGCAATGATGAATCAACATTTAGACGTATTCTCGACTAAAGTTGCAACCAACCACAAGACTGTTAAACACCTGAACTTTTGAAAGAACAAAATTATTTATCTAATATATCATATTCCAATTACTTGTTGTATATAGACACTTATTTCACTATTTTATTTGTATTTACTTGCACTATTATCTGTTTTATTGTGTTGCACTGTTGGAGGAGCCCGTGACCTAAGATTTTCATCCACACTGTAGCTATGTACGAATGATAATAAAAGCCTTGAATCTTGCTTATTCTCTGTGTATTCGACTCCCCATGCCTAATCACGCTGAAGCTCGGCTCCTTATGTTTGCCTGATATCAGTTTCTGGATCTCAAGGCCAGCTGCAGCTCTGAAACCTAGACACTACGGCTACAAATATAAAAACTTCTCGATCAATGAGGTCAGTGTCTGGTCCCTGAAGTCAGTCGGTGGGGGGGGGGGGGGGGGGGGGAAAGGTGAAACTCCATCCACTCCCCTGACATCAGAGCAGCGATTCAACAGAGCCTCCCTCCTCCAGCGCTGAAGAATTAACCCCATTTGCTGATGGCTACCCGGGTCATAAGACCAGTTGTTGTGAATGTCCTCGTTGTTGAGCACAAACAAGTTTTGATTGTGCATCGCAGCACCCTCGAATCATAATTTTAAAAACGCCCTGGGGATCTTTTAAAGTCCTTGTGATAAGCAGCACTGCAAAACAATGGAGCCTCACTTGTGATGCGGTGCACATAATCACAGCATTTGCATAGTCTGCACACGTAGGAATATATTTTAGGCCTGTGCTAAATTTAAAGCAATATCTGACATCATAAGTGCTCACTGACGCACAGCGCACCTCCTCTATACTTCCCTATTCCAGTCATCTGTACATCTTACAGGCGCACAGCATCATGTTCGATGTTTGACAAAAAAATACACAATCGTTGGACTGCTTCGGAGAGGAAATCATCCTCTCTGTACATGTGGATAAATTATGTCTGCAGAGAATAAACTGTGGAAGTGGAAGCTGGCGTTTCTGCAGGAGTGTGACCTAGTTATTTGGATACGATGGCCATATCTGCTTATACCAATACTACATGAACAAAGGCTTTTAAATCTAATACAGATACAAGTTTTTGAGACATTTTTGAGAAAACATTTCTTATTTCTCTTGTCTCTGTTCTTCTCCTAGGTCGACAGAGAAGTACCTGAGCCCTTGAAGTTCTCAGCTTTGATGCAGTACAGGTACAGCTCGCTATGTTCAAACACAGTTTCTAAATTTACTTTTGGTGTGTCTCTTTGCAAATCATTCTGCGTGGAGAAACGGCACAGATGAGAGTAAAATGTGTGTGACGGCTGGGTAGATGGAGAGGAAACCAGTCGGTTGTAAATACGTTTTAAATAGTTTTTTTAAAATATCATTTCCTTGTCATTTTCTGTAATTTAAATGCACGTTGACGCATTTCTCACCTCTGCATATCAATTTCCTGTGGGGAAACCCTGTATAGGTTTACTCTAAAAGAAACTGTGCCAACGTGTCGCACACTTCATTCTTGACTTCACTATCACTACTGCTCCTCGAGACACAGACACTGACCCAGATGCCATTGTATGATAAAAATACTAATTGCTTGAAATATAGTAATGTAGATTCTAGCCATTCTGACATTCATATCTTTCTTCTCCAGTGTACTGGGTGCAAGATGACGGAAGAGGTGATTGTCATCGCCAAGTTCGACTACATGGCCCAGCAGGACCAGGAGCTGGACATCAAGAAGAACGAGCGCCTCTGGCTCCTCGACGACTCCAAGTCCTGGTGGAGGGTCCGAAACGCCACCAACAAAACGGGCTTCGTGCCGTCCAACTATGTGGAGAGAAAAAACAGCGCCAGGAAGGCGTCCATCGTCAAGAACCTCAAGGACACACTCGGTAAAGTCATGCTTTCTTACTTCAATCTGCATGTGATATATTTTTTTATTGCAGGAGCTGATTCTTCTTTTTTGCACTCGTATATCTTCTAGAATCGGTTCCATCTTTTTTCATAGAGACCACGTTGTTAACCTACATGCTGTAGCCTCAGAGAACACCCTTTATCTAGACCAGAACTACTTTGGTTTTGGTTGTTGACCACATTGTGGTGTGTCATGTACAGCCTCCACAGGAAGAGGGTCGCCGGCTGATTGGTTGAATTGCAAAAGAGCTACCTTTTTTACCACAAAGCACATTTAGACTGAAGCTTTAGTACCGGATCGAGATGTCTGTAGTGTCGTTACTGAAGTTGATATTTGAAGCGTTGGTGCAGGTAAGGCAGTTTTTCTATACATATATATTTCTGTGCATGCTAACAGTTCATCATGGCCAGGATTGTAACGGCACAGGTGTTTTCTGCTCTGTCAACACGGCAGTAATATTTCTGGCCTGTGCTATTTGCTAAGGGCCTTGTACTGCCAGGAGTAAATGTGACAGTGTATGTAAGCCAAGGTTACAATTTGTCTTAGCTTAATTCTGCTCGATGACAGGTATTCACGATCATTTGGGATACGCACTCTGTCTTCTGCCTTCAGGTCTCAGCCCAGATAGCCTTGCATTTAATTTGTAGATCTGATGCTTTACACGCTCTAATCTCCGGGATGTTCTGCTCTGCAGGGCGTCATGGTCTCAGACAGTTCATACACGAAGGGATAACCCTGTTTGTTGGTGTATTTGTTCGTGTTTGTTGGGAGGATTCATCAGATCAGTGTAGTCCGTACACCAGCCAGAGCCACAGACACACTTGCATGATGTTTAAAATATTTAAAATGCTACATGTTGTCTTGTGACATAAATCCCCTTTAACTGATCCTCAGTGTATCGTTTATCCTTATATGTGCTTACTTGGTATTCTTGGTTACTTCAAACAAGCAGTGAGTCATCATTTTGTGACTGTAACACACACTGCAGTGTTTGCAAAACACTTATCTGTAGGACATGTCAACTGTGTCTTCCTGTTAGTGTTGTGGTGACAGCAGCATGGTGACGGGCAGCCTGGGTGCAGAAGTACCGCTTTAGGGGTTTTTAGTTATGCTGCTCATGTCTAGCTAGATTTCATGTCCGTGATGCTACATGATGTAAGCCTACCTATTAAACTTCCAATGATTAATAGGATCATTCATATTTAAAGTGACTAACAGACCATTTTGACACGGTGTATACATTTAAAAGGTGTGTGTGTGTGTGTGTGTGTGTGTGTGTGTGTGTGTGTTGTGTGTGTGTGTGTGTGTGTGTGTGTGTGTGTGTGTGTGTGTGTGTGTGTGTGTGTGTGTGTGTGTGTGTGTGTGTGTGTGTGTGTGTGTGTGTGTGTGTGTGTGTGTGTGTGTGTGTGTGTGTGTGTGTGTGTGTGTGTGTAGTGTGTGTGTGTGTGTGTGTGTGTGTGTGTGTGTGTGTGTGTGTGTGTGTGTGTTGTGTTTGTGTGTGTGTGTGTGTGTGTGTGTGTGTGTGTGTGTGTGTGTGTGTGTGTGTGTGTGTGTGTATTGATCAGATAACCCCAGGTGAACAGCTGCATTGACACACACACACACTCAATAAAAACGTAATGTAACACACGAGTGAGGGCAGAACTGGGCCTCGTTAAACACTAATACAATCATAGAAAGCTTGTAAATACTTCCCCTTCATAAGTAGATTTAAGACGTTTTAACTAGAAGTGTGGGCGGTTGTGTTTGAGAACAATAAGAGAAGCACAGCCTGGTGACTTTCATATGTTATGTGGGAAGAAAAATGTCTATCTTTTATAAAAAAAACAAGCCTGTTGCTGGGTGTGGAGCGGCGGTGTCATCGTTTGAAAGAATGCGTCGGGGTATGATCCGTCCGCGGGGTTTCTGCGAGCACTCATGTTTCCTAGGTTTGTTGTAAAGTTATGAGTGTGTCTCTGCAAACAACTGGAGTCATGTGACACGGAGCACTCTCTGACTCACTCAGCCATTACAGCGTCCCAGCACTTTTCTTACTGAGTGGATTTAATCAGATCACAACAAAAAAATACCAAAATGCTGCTTAATGTGGATGAAACGGCTCCTTCCCTTTCCCTGTATCCCCTTTCTTTTATCTATTTTTCTTTCTGAATCTGAGCTCCAACCCCCCTCCCTTCCCACGTCTTCCCCTTTCCATGAGGCCTCTGTACTCTGCCTTCCAGAGCTAGACCGGAGGCCTCTCTGTCCTGCTCTGTGATTGGCTGAGCCGCACCACATGGTCACAGAGTGGGCTGCCCTGCTCCGCTATCCGCCCAGCTTTCTGGGTGTTCACATGGAATAACTCTACAGCTGCAGTGGGAAGAGAGCAGGGGCCGGGAAAAAGCCAGGGAGAGACGGCGAGCCCAAAATGGACATGGCTAACCTATTCAAACATTTCTTTCGTGAGTTTTTTTAACTTTAAGCTGCTTGTTTGTTATTTTGACTTGATGTGGAGAGCTTTTAAGGGAAGTTTGAGAGCTTCTGTCTACTCTCTGTCTTGCTGTGCAGCAGCGGTTGTCAGGTTTCTTCTCCTTTCATGTTCCCTTTCTGGTTTTTCACTTTGATTTCTAGTCACTTTCAGCGAGGGAATGTGTCACAATTAGAAAGATGTCTGTGCTAACATGTAGTGCCGGCAGAGAGGGGTTGTCTGAGCAGCGCTTTGAGGCCGTGTCTGTGCTGCAGCGACTGGGTGGATATGCTTTTTGAAAAGGCTTCGGCTGAGCCCAAGCCTGTAATTGCCTCAGCAATCCTTCTCTGTCTCGTTCTTTTAAACACACACACAGTAATCCTACTCCCTTTTCCCAAGCATTTGTCCTAGTGAGTGGGCTGCAACTCACTGGATTACATTATCATGCTCGAAGACCCCCCCCCTATCCACAATGTTAAGTGGAATATCTCAAGACATGGCCAAAGTCTGTTTTCTTTTATGCTAGCCTGAGGGCGAGCTGGCTGTTTCTGGGAGGGTCGCTCCACTCCTCCAGCCCACCGCTAGTCATGAGCTACAGTGGCGGGGTGCTAACACTGTAGGCATTGTGCTGCGAGGGAGCCGGGGGTCTCTGCTGATTGATGGGAAACCGGGCTCCCGTCTCCCGCACCTCGCTCGGTTATCAGAGGAATGTCACTGCCCGGCATGGATACTTTACAACCTAAGCTGACACGCTTTTTCAAAAGGCCGCGGCGCACAGCCATGCTGTAATCTCACCTTGTAACTGTTGAGTGGTATCTCCTGCCTCTCTATCTCCCCTACTTGCTGCTTGTAAAGGGCTGAGAGGAGCATAGAGATGAGCTAACAAACCTTCTGCTTGTGTAAACTGAGAGCCGTTAGCCTCCTCTGTTTCCCCTCCCTTTCGCTTTCCTGTTCCTTAGCCTCCCCAGCGAGCGGAAACTCTAATTTGAGCCACATTTCTCCCCGAGCATTGGAGAGAGAGGAAGTGAGAAGTCAGAAAGGAAGTTGAATCATTGAGCGGTGGTCTGTCCGTTTGACTTTGTGGCAGTCGCCGTCCCTCGTTGCTTCGTTTCCAGATTGTTTTCTCGTAACCGCCCGTCGCTGCTTCCACACCAGAAAAAGCCAAAGAGATTGGCGGGAGAGTCCTCGCCGTCACTCAGGCCTTAAGATGTTTTTCTCTTGTTAAGCCGTCCACTCATCTTTGTTTTCCCGTGACTTAAGAATTGCTCAACAGGAAGTGAGCAGTGGTTTGGACATGTTGAACTCTAGCAAGTGTTGTAAACTAATTGTCAGAGAACTGTGAAAACTCCCCTCTTCTTTTGGTGTATTTTATAAGCAAAATGGCAAATATTTGATAGTTTTAATGTCAGAGTTTGTTTCTTTTCTTGGCATATGTTACAGTAAACTGATTTCAGAATATTTGAAGACATTTGAAGAAGTGTCAGCCACAGTTTTGTGACTTTTTATTGACAAAACTATCAAGAAAAATAGAAGAAAATGATTTATACATCAATTTAAAAAGACAATTTCAGCCAGAAAATCGGTTAGTTTCTGATTTGATATCAAAGTTTTGGCATCTGTAAGATATAATGTCCTTTGTATAAGGGTCACTGGCATCCAGGTTAGGATAAATAGTAAGAAAAAGTTGGAAAATTAGAGTTTTTAAAAGATATTTTCACAGATAGAAAGGCAACCACGTTGTTTCTCTGTCAGGGAAGGGTTCTGATTGGCCCCTGGCGGTAAACGCTGCACTGTCCGGAGCTGTAAAAACCAAATGGAGCTCCATGCCTCCATCCCTCCCTCCGGCTCCATCACAGAGACTCATGGCTGTGTTTGAAGTTTCTCACAGCTGAAGTTCAAAGAGCTCTGGATGTTTCCTGTGCAGCTTTCAGTCAGACGCTTTGATTGAAGCTGTCGTCTTAAAAGGTGTCCAAAGACTCCTTCCCCAAGTGAGGAAAAATGCCCACACATTCCCCTTAGTTACTTTGACTCACTCTTTCTCACTGCGCACACGCTGTCATTACATTTAATGTGGGAGTCTCATACTAAACCATATGGCTGAGGGCTGCTGTGTTGCGTCACACGTCTGGTGAACGCCAGTGACACATTGTTGTCAGAGTTTAAATTGCTGTACACACAGAGAGGACAGACATTAGGTTTTGATAGGGAGGAGTTTCCATCCTATTACCTGCACATTTAGCACACACTTAGGGGTTTTAAAGGTCACCTACATCAGCATGTGTCCCCTCTTCTTCATGTCTCTTCTTCATCAACATGTGTCCCCTCTTCTTCATGTCTCTTCTTCATCAACATGTGTCCCCTCTTCTTCATGTCTCTTCTACATCAACATGTGTCCCCTCTTCTTCATGTCTCTTCTACATCAACATGTGTCCCCTCTTCTTCATGTCTCTTCTACATCAACATGTGTCCCCTCTTCTTCATGTCTCCTCTACATCAACATGTGTCCCCTCTTCTTCATGTCTCTTCTACATCAA